GACTCAGAGAAAATCGTCTTCATTCAATCATTTTTACCTAAAAACATCAATTTCCTAATGGTTTAATCTCAATACTTTTAAAAATGTGTGTGTAAAGTTATGTGTGTATATGTGTATATTTGTATACACACATATACACAATCTACACTTACAAACATAGATACACTGATTCACCAAAGAACGGGTATGATGTATGATAGACACGAAAACGTTAACAGAAGTTTTCAGGGTGAAGTCATTGTCTTCTTAACATTATTTGTTATGCTTTTCTTCACTTCTCAATTTTTTTTTCACTTTTTTAATGTGAAATTTTTTTAACTTTTTAATGATTTTTTTTTTTAACACATTCAGAACAAATGTAATTTGCAGTCCCGTTTCAAGGGATAGGAGTTCGAGGTGGCCAGAGTGTGGTAGGACCACCCACGCACCCCGCCCTGGTGGTTCAAATGAGCAACGCTTCCCCAGGGTAATTTTGCAAACACATCAAAGCCTTTCAGGTGCTCACAGCTTTGACCAGCCATTCTTCTTCTTAGAATCTCTCCAAAGGAAATAAGCAGAGATGCCACGATACCTGAACAAGATGTTCATCACAGAGTTATCTGTAATATGAAAGTTTGAATACAGTGATATACTCCCTGACAAGAGGGAACAGGCTGGGGGCGCCTGGGTGGCTCTGTCCTAAGTGTCTGCCTTTGGCTTAGGTCATGATTCCAGGGTCCTGGGATTGAGCCCCACATCAGGTTGGTGGGAAGCCTGCTTCTCCCTCTCCCTCTCCCACTCCCACTCCCCCTGCTTGTGTTGCCTCTCTCGCTGTGTCTCTCTCTTTCAAATAAATAAAAATCTTAAAAAAAAAAAAAAAGAAGGAGGGAAAAGAAGAAGGTTGAGTATATCCATCTGATGTATTTTATGCGGCAGTCAATGTATGTTGGGATCACTCTTAATAACCTAAGAAAATGTTGGTGCTATATTGAATTTTAAAAGCAAAATTAAAACTTATATATATTCTGATCATAAATCTGTTTTAAAGAAGTCTGTACGCCTGGGAGCGCCTGGCTGGCTCAGCGGATGGAGCATACAACCTTTGATCTTATGGTTGTGAGTCTGAGTCCCATGTTTTGGGTGTACAGATTACTTAAAAATAAAGTCTTTATAAAAAGAAATGTAAGTCTGTATGTGCCCACACATGCACAGAATCACCTTGAAAGAAGACTGGAAGACTGTGTGTGTGTGTGTGTGTGTGTGTGTGTGTGAGATCTACAGCAGTTTGTTGAGTGGAGAGATTTTTATTGCCTTCTGTACACTGTTCTGAATTTCCCAAATATTCTGCCAAAAGTATGCATGACTTCTACAATCAGAAAAGGAACACCTTTTATCAAAAGAGAAAAGAAAGTTCCCTCCTTGCAAAATGGAGGATGGAATATGGGGGAAGCAGGTGAACTTGTGGGGACCTGCTAGAGCTCCGGCTGTTAGAAGTGGGAAAGAAGAGCGGGGTGAAGATTCAGGACACTGGGGAGGCAGAAGTGTCGGGACTTGCTGACCAAATGGATGACAGGAGGGAGTCAGGTCTGAGGCTCAGCTGTGGGGATTGGGGTAGGGAATACAGACTCGGGCGGCCAGCTTGCTGACGGGCTCCGGGGTCACTGGCCTTCTGACCCACCCTGTGCCATCCCTCCTGCTTTAATAGAGCGGACCTGTGTCACCGCGGGACAGAGCAGAAATGACAGGGTGTGCTTTGTGAAGCGGAGCCTAAGAGAGAAGTTCCCAGGAGTTCTGGGTAGCTGAAGGCAGAGGATATTGCGGGACGAGGAAGTCTTGAGGATGGATGGGGGGAGGGGGCATGGTACACAATGTGAACACATTTAATGCCACTGAACTATCAGGTTAAGAATGGTTAAAATGCAAATTTTATGTTGTGCATGTTTTATCATAATAAAAAATTTTTAATATAAAAAAGGCCAGGCTCTGCTTTTGTCTCTCAGGGCCCTGGGGGCCCGGAGGGAAGCCAGCCAGCGCGCGGTAAGCACACTCAGGCAGCCCTGCAGAGAGCCGGGGTGGGGAGGACCTGGTCTGTGTGTGAGCCCCCCACCCCCCGCCAGGGGGAAGCAGATCCTCCAGCCCCGGACAAGCCTCCAGCTGAAGACAGAAAGCATAAAATAAGATTGTTTTAACGTTTGGAGGAATTCGTGAATCCAGCAATAGAAGGGGGCATGGGTTTGAGCCGTCTCGTACTCATCTGTGCCTCGTACCACCGTATCGTTTCTCCAGCTTCCGATGAGGATGTGGAGGCTGGAAAGGACCAGGACAGCAAACCCCGCGGACAGGCCTTCTCCGACTGCCGCGCCCCGGCGAGCGGGCTTGCGGCGGGCTCCCCACAGGGCCCACCAGAGGGCGCCAGAGAGACCAGACGGCGGGAGGTTGCTGAGCGCAGCCCCCCGTCTGGGAAGGGTCTGCTTCCTGCGGTTCCCACCGGGGGTTCCCACGGGCCTCCCTTTTTGCCTCTCTTCCTCCAGTAAGACCTGTTTCACCGATTCCCTAAATTAAATCCTCTTTGCTCAAATCCCCACATGGTTCCTATTTTCCTAACTGGTCCTCAGCCGATACAGCAGGTGGACCAGAGTCCACTCGGTTACTGGGCCAGCTTGTCTGGTGCGGGCACAGGTGTAAGTCAGGGGGGTTCCCACCTGCCCAGGGGAACCGTCATCTCACCCCAACTGCCCTTCCAGCAGGCTCCTCGCCTGCAACCTCCCCCCACCCGAGCTCAACTCACACCTGTGCTCCCCCAGCTCAGCACTTTCCTCCGTCTCTCTGTGCCTTTTGAGCCCAACTCCCCCTAAATTGGACAGTAAGAAAATGAGACCCTCAGTATGTGAGGAAGCAGTTGTAGAGGAGGATGGAATTTGGGGGTTTTTTTCCTTGTTATTCTTTCTTTTATACCTTGGGAGTAACAATAAGAGAAAAGGGTGATTTGTTCTCAGGCTGACTTCATTGTCTACTTTTTTTTCTTGACCTTTTCATTCCTGTGGAAAGTCACTGGACAAAGAAGAGAAACCCAGGAGTTCAGGTTCATTCCTGTCCTATTCCTCACGTCCTCTCACTTCTACTCAGCAGAAGAGCACCAGAGAGATGATGAGAAGGTAAGGGGCGTGCACACCTGTGTTCCCGCTTGCGAGTTCATTTCCCTCACGGCAGTAACCATACTACAGCCTCAACAGTTTCCAGGAGAGGTCTTCACGGAGTTGTTGTTGAAAAATTACAGAAACTTCACTCCCCACCATCTTACCATTAATGAAATAGGAACTGAGTGAAAAAAAAATGAGAATCTACCACCTGACCCCAGCCCCCCAACAAAAAAGGTATTTTTAAAATTTTAAGTACAGTCAACTTTCCAAGGTGGGGCTCGAACTCACAACCCTGAGATCAAGAGCCATTTGTCTACCAACTGAGCCAGCCAGGCACCCCCAACAAAAAAGTATTTTAAAGTATTTTAAAGACACAAAACAAAGCAATAAAACTCAGACCTCATCCTGCCATGCTTGTCTAGATTATGCCCTAAAGGGGGATGACAGCCCCAGGGAGGAGAAAAGGGTGGTTAGTGGATGTGACAAATTTTAGTCCCAGTACAGATACAGAAATACACCTAGGGTAGTAAACTCTCATGGGTGGGTAGTATTCAGGAAATAGTGTCAGGAAGCCTGCTTGGGATGGGAGAGAGGGTTGTCAGGAAACACGCTGAGAAGCGCTGTCCTGGGTGAGCCACACCCACTTGCCCACCCTTTGGCTCGAGCATACCCGTTAGCACTGTCCTTCCTTCCAGATTTGTAAGAAACTCTGCAGAAACATCATCTTTGCTTGAGTAAGAAGGGTCTGGAATAGAATCCAGGAGAGAAGGTAATGCCAACGGAGCATCAACCTCAGCGAACAGTGTCTTATAAAAGCTGAGCGTCAGGCTCTGACACATGGCTTCCTTTCCTTGCCAACACATTTTGGGTTGTGGCTAAACAACTTCTTTATCTCAAAGGTCACTTTTTCCAGGAGAAAGAAGGGTTTCAGGGCAGCCCGTTGCCTCTAGGTCAGTCTAGGCTCCTCGTGTCTAGTCCCTGCTGACCGGCATCCCAGAGGAGGGGTGTTACCCCCGTGGATGAACGCGGGTCACAGAGCACGCGGGCTCCACTTGATTCTGATGACACGTGCGCGTGCTTTTATCTGCTAAGTCGTTCTCTGATCTGTGCCGCTCACGTGTTACCAAAGCCAAATTAGTTCTGCCCATGGTTTCTGGCCCCAGCTACCGGTGACACTGTTACATCAGCTTTGCAAATTCCTCATATTTCAGGTGCCCAGAGCACATGCACACTTGCACACAGAGAATCACGACGTGCGCGCCCTTCCTAAGCACCCGCCTCTGCCGAATTCCAATACCGTTCACCCCCCGGGGCCTTCAGCTAGTCCATCATTTTGCTCAAGTATCATGAACAAGGTTTTGTGCTCGGTGCCATGAGGGGCTAACAAGATTTGAAAAGCACACTTTCTGCTTCCGGAGAGAAAGAGAAGTATGCAAATAACACAGCATAAGGCACTTTTCCCAGTTATGGAAGGGATGGGCAAAGCAGAGCTGCCGGAGTGTCGGAGGAGGGAGAGCCCACTCCCACAAGCAGGAAGCCGGGGAGACCCCCGGGGGAGCAGGCAGATTTCCGCAGGTGAGCTGGGGTACGGAGGGGAGCACCACAAGGAAAGATGCTGAGCAACGTCGGCCAAATGACCTGTAAAATGTTGGTTTGTTTGTGTTAAGTAGGCTCCATACCCAGCGTGGAGCCTGACACAGGGCTCGAACTCATGACCCTGCGATCAAGACACAAGCTGAAATCAAGAGTCGGACATTCAACCCACTGAGCCACCCAGGCATCCCAGCCTATCAAGTTTTTTATATTCAACAGTCTTAACATAAGTATTTTAAAACTAGAAGTATATCATTTTACTTTAGGAAAAAACTTAAGAGCACTTACTTTCAGTTGGAAATTTCTTGGCTCGCTCCTCAAAGAACCATTCTCCAGTTTTTATTTTCACATTTCTGAAAAACAAGCAGAAAGGAAGCCTCAGACAGAGATGTGGACGGTGCTGTGTTTGGCTCATAAGAGGTAGGTAGATAGTATCACACAAAATTAGTCTAGCAAGGGTCCTCAGAGTTCAAATTTCTGGCCCCAACCCCTACTTTACAGATCTCCGATAGAGATTAAGTGATCTGTTAGCAGCAAAGCTGGGAGTCTCTGCTTGGGTCTCTTTTATCCTCTTTGTAACATATAGATGCAATGTATACATACTAACATATGGGTGTGACCAATCCATATTAAGTACTTCATGTTTTCCTAATAAATATACATGGGGAAACAGAATTGCCATCAAAATGATCAATTTATTATGTTTACAATGGTCAACAACGGCATGAAGGATAATTAACAAAAAAATCCAAAACTGTCCATTTGGCCAGGAGGGAGATCATCCCTAAAATAGGTTAAGGTTAGTTTGTGTCAACCGCGATGTTTCCCAAAAGCTGACAAAGTAGCCGTGAAGTTTCCTGGACAGACCTGAAGTCTGGAACACGGGATCCATGCACGGGGTGGAGACCCAGGACGTGGGTCCGAGCAGACCATCTACGAACCGGCCTTTTGTTGGCCACCGCTCTGCTGGCAGTTGCTGGGGTTGCTCTTCAGCCCTGCATCTCCTCCAGTCTCAGTCACAGGAGGAACGGGGCCCTTCGTATGCTCTCTGTTTGCAATCAAAGTCTGCAAATGCCTTGTGCCCTTGACCCTTCCCAAATTCCTGGAGAAGCCACCCAACATCAAAAAAACCTTAGAAACATAGAATTGTTAACATCTCTTTAGGATGTAAAAAAAAAATCAACACACAGATACTACAAGTTTTTCACACCCTTAAAATAATGTGCCACAAAACTTGCCAATTCCTGGATTATGAAAGTTGAAGAAAAATTAGAACGTCAACTTACGAATTCTCGTCTATAAAATACTGAAATAAGTTCTCCATTAGGTTCTTTTAGGCTACATATGAACTCAAATGGATTTTTCTTAACTAATGCTTACAACTGTTCTAAATGTAGTCATTTCACAAATATATGTCAAACCACATGTTTTTAAAATACCCTCTTCCTCTACGGAGTTCTAATAATTATTGGAAGGCAATAACCAGCTTCCTCCACTTTATCTCGTGAGCAACTGTCATGTTCTCCAATTACTAAGTAAATCATGATTCCCAATGCTTAGTGACTAGAATAAGGGAAAAATACACAGGCCTTTTATAAATTGTGATAACAGAATTTTGATCATCAGTCACTGCCATTCAGAGCCAAAATATATAGAATGTTCAACTGTGGTATGTCCTGGGGTGGGGGGGAAACAGGGAAAAGTCGGCACTTTAAATACAAACATTTAATCTACTAAACCGACACGAAACACTGGGCACTCAGCTCCTCGGAAGTTCCCTCCGCAGGCAAGGAGGGCATCAAACACCAGGCAAAGTCTGGAGAGATAAATGGGGCAGCTGGGGAATTCATGCTCTTCGAAGGACCATACCTGCCAACCGTTTATGCCTGTGGGCAACTCTTCCATCCTTACCAGCAGGATGAAGTCTAACCATCAGATGAAGAGAGTCGAGGAGCAAAATCAAATGTGGAAGCAGGAGACCTCCATCTACTAAATGAACTCGACTTCCTGGTGATGGTGACCGTTTCAGCCAGTCTAGCCTGGCATGCTGCACAGCCTATAACCCTTGGGACCAAAAGCACCCATGTCCAGGGCAGGACGGGGATGGCGCCGGCTTCGGACGGGAAGGAGGTCAGAGCTGAGAATTCAGCAGTGAATCAAACCACACCCCCCGACAGTCAGCGGAGACTAGCCGAGCCAAGCCAGACGCCGCGCACGGATCCACAATCACGAAAGGAAAGCTCAGTGGAGGGAAGGGGAGGGTGGAGACACCTGAGTCAACCACTGTCCTTCTCCAGCCCTGATTTCAGAACCTCTGCAGTGAATTAAAATATCTGTCCCCTGGCGCTGGGTCCTGTAACTGCATATCCCAGTTGACGACGTGTGAAGCTCAAGCAGGAGCTTTTCTGGCACCAGAGCTCTGGACACAGACTTCGTGTGTCTCAGGCCCACCTCTGATTAAAGAATAGAAGGATAAAAACACCACTGTCCTAAACCATGTGTCAAAATGCATGTTTTTTGCATTGGAGGCTCTGTTTCCTTTGAGAATAGATTTGAGCTGGATCTCCCAATCCTTGCAGAATCAGCCATTTGTAAGCAATGGTCCCCTAATATCCTTCCTAAAGGTGCCTGTCCACACCAACCCCGAGATACAGAAAGGGGGACCATCTGTTGCTCTTATCGACGAAGGCGAGCAGACTTTGCAGTGGCCGCACCTGCTCGTCTCTGTCCTTGTTAAGGCCAACGCAGGGTAGCTTGACTCACAGCAACCAGAGGACACATATTGTTATTTCTTCCCAGGTGATTAATCAGAATCTGGCTATGAAAGCTTCTTGAAACATTTTCTGAGCTCAGCAATAGGCTAATGCTTTTACATTCTTCAGAACCGAGACTTGCTTCTTTAAAACTTGTTCAATCAGGGGCACCTGGGTAGCTCAGTCGGTTAAGTGTTTGCCTTCAGCTCTGGTCATGACCTTAGGGTCCTGGGATTGAGCCCGCAGTCCTGCTCTCTGCTCAGTAGGGAGTCTGCTGCTCATTCTCCCTTTGCCCTTCCTACTCGTGCTTGCCTCTCAAATGAGTAAATTTAAAAAACCTTTAAAAAACATTTTCAATCAATTGACAAATACATCTTGGAAAGCAAAAGCCTAGGGTTTGTGGAGACAACAGAAGCTCCGGAATCAGGAGAGCTGAATCTGGCATCTGACCTTGCCAGTTGACTCTGTGCTAGGATCGCTCCCATAAATGCCAAGCCCGTGGCGCAGAGCCAGCTCTAACTACACTCCTGGAGGTCCTAGCATCCATTCTCATAGCCTTGAACTCTGCTCATGCTGTCCTTTCAGCAGCAAACAAGAAGTAACTGTTGAAAAGCACTTTGCAAATCCCAGCATTCAAATGTTGAATGATACAATGAAAGGATGACTGGAACAGAAAGAGCCTTTGACCTGTTACCCTCAGAGCAAGCAGTGAGCCAAACAGCCTGCTGGAATGCAGTTTTACTTTGCATCGAAATCACTTGCATCTGCGGATGGACAGTTAACAGTAACACACGCCACCTAACAGCTAACCATAAACATGCCTTATGTCTTCAAAAAGTCAACATGATGTCCCTAGAGTTGCTTAATGTATTTTCCACCATTTCAAGGGACAAGAGGTGGAAAACTGGTCTGCAGAGATGGGATTCTGGAAATGCCTCCGGAGGTGCCTCTCCCTGGGTAGATCTGCTCTCCAGCTGATGTCCTGACAGGAAGCCTCAGGAGGCCCCTGAGGGCCCATCAAATGAACAAGCTGACAAAAGTCCAAATGAAGAAGCTGAATATTATAAAACTGAGACCCACCTAACGGCTTTGTGCTAGCCTATCCACGTGTTGGGTATTTCCCAGCTTGAGGAATCTGAGGAGAGCCTACGGTGGAATTTTCTCAGTGTATTTTTACTTCAAATAATCTCACATCTAAGATGGTTTTTGGTTACAAAGCAGAACAGTGATGTTTTTTCCTGCCAGCTCAATTGATCTGCTTTCAACGTTTTTACAGGAAAAAAAAGACTGACCATAGTGATTAAATCCTAGGTAACTAGGGGAGGACTCAGAAAATCAAGATGAAGAAGTGATCGCATCGAGCTGCTGCCACCCCTTCTTGCAAAATGGTTGTAGCTCTCCCTCAGCTGACCTCAGAGAGAAGACAGGTGCCCCCTGTGTCATACTCAGGGCTGAATTCACAGCGCCAAACCTGACTGGGGCACATGGCAGGGGCCAGAGAATCCGTGTGGGTTGGTAAATGAATAAAAAGCCCCAGCCTTGTGGGGAGCCACTGAGAACTGTAGGGAGAGGCTGGGATCCTGCTGGGCTGTGCACTGAGATCTAACGTGTGTGGGTCCCTCTAAGCACGTGGGGTGGGGGTCACAGACTCAGGCACCAGGTAGAGACTATAAAAGAGGGAAGCAAGCTGCGTGAAGACAATAGGGAGGGGTGGGGACTGTGGTGAGTTGGAGAACCCGCAGTCCATTTTAAGGCATTGAAATGATAAATATTAGACTTCAGGCCAAAGACACATGGGCTGTCAGCAGGCTGTTGGTCACGCGTTTGTGACTCTTGGTTTGTTACATCAGATTGACAAAAGTGAGAAAAATTGCTGCACTTGAGGCCTCGACAAAGAATCGGATTAGAGACTGCACATTGCCCTGTTCTCCCTGGAGATCTAAGAAGGGCCCCCCCACCGCCATAGGGGCCACAGGAAGGGTGAGAAACAAGGAGTCCGTGCTTGTTGGCAATTCCTCAGCCCAAAGAGACAACCGAGAGCCTCTGACAAAATGCCGAAGACATCTCGGGACACGCAGCACTCGTTGAAATGGGGAACGTTTCAGAAAGTACTTTGTCCTCAAAAGCCACCTGAGACCCATGTCTAAGACAAGGAGAAAGAAAGACAGAAGGAGAAACCAGGCTGACATGAAGAGACATCAGACTAGAACAAAGACAAATCTGGCAAAAAAAAAAAAAATAGAACAGTCTGCCAGGAAGCAGGAACAGAACGGAGAGGCCGGAAAGCTGAAGGAGTGAGCTGACCCAGCAGACGCACTTTTCTGGAACGTGAACAGAAAAGTAAAAGACATCAGATGTTGGAGGACAGAGAACAAAGGTAACCTCCGCATTAAAAGTTACCCTCTAAGAAGCAAGGGCAAGTGGCATAAAAGATGGTTAGGGGACTCACAGCTGACTGACAAAAATGTTACCAAGTCAAAAACCAAGCAAATCTTCACCTTGCACCCATTAGGGGGGCTACTAGCAAAAATGAAGCAAAACAAAACAACCTGAAAAGAACAAGTATTGACAAGAACGTAAGGGAAATGGTCGCTGTGTGC